GTCAGACTAAATGGTCAGCCTCGATGACGTCGCTCTTGATTGCTGCGGTAGTTGCAGTCTTCTGAGTCGGTGTCACCTATGTCGATTTCCTTGGGCTTTTTGTCGCTTTTCATGGGGCCTTTGAGGTCAGCCCATTTCAAAGCTATGAAGTGTAAGCCCACGTGGTTGCTGTGGGCAATCGTGTACTTCTCAGACGTGGTGGCTATGCCTTTTTCGCCCACGTTGACTTGGGCTTTTTCGTTGCCACCAGCTCGAAAGGCGGTGTGCTCATAGGCTCCTCTATACATTGCGCCCACGGTGACGTCCTGTTGGCCTTTGCCCTTTTTCTCCATGGAATCAAGGAGAGCCGTTTCAATCCAAGTCGGAAGTGTTTTGTCCGCATTGGAGATTTCTCTGCCAAGATAAAATGCCCCAAAGGTGGGTAAGTGGCACTTCTGTGGATTCTTATGGTAAGACCAGTTGGCTGGTCTGATCTTACCTTCAAGGAGGATCAGTTGAGCGGTTTTGATGGTCGTGCCGTGACAGAGTGCCCAGGTGTGATTGTGTTGATTGTCGAAAGGAGGTGGCATCGAGAATCGACTGATGTCTGGTAGTGGCATAATGAGTGCAAGCATGTTGGTGTGCGGAAGTTCACGGACATAGCAGGTGGAGAGGTCGTAGTCCGGAAGGAGGTTGGTGCTGAAGAACAGTTGGACAGCCTTTTCAAGTACATCACCTGGAATTCTGGGATCGACCTGATGGAGCTGTTCCCTTGCAGCATCGTATTCATCTTGTGGAATGGAGGTGGTCGGCTGAGGGCGTTCTTCAGCTTTAAGCTCGTTGGCAGCTCGCATCCTGTCTGGATGATTCAAAGCATGCTTGATATGACGAGCCCATTCCTCTCTCGACCCATCTTGAAGATTGATGGGAACATGTCCTGGGGGGACGGCACTGGTGGAGGCACGAGATTGGATTGAGCCTGATCTGTGTGGAGGTTGACGTGAACGGTCGGAGGAGAATGCAGTGAGTGGTTTGGTGGAAGACTTGTAGGAAGAGTCATAGTGACTGTGGTGTTTGGAGGAAGCTTTGGGATAGTCAATCCAACCCGATGGATGGGTACGATACTGAGGTTTTGGATTTTCCTTCCATTGGTGCCAGGATTTCCACTTGTTTGTGGATGGCTGGTCAAATGGTTGGTAGTCGTACTGGTAGTACTCCTGGTGGAATGATGGATCTTGATGGTAGCATTGATGTTCCCACGATGCAGGGTGAAGTGTAGCTGGTTCATGTCTGGGTTCATCACGTCCTAGATCATCGTTGTCTGGTAGTACTTCTCGTCGACGTGGAGAGGCTGAACGCAAGTTGACAGACGTACCTCTGCTTGCACGTCTGGATGGGTTCCTCGAAGTGGAATGTCGTCTCCTGTGTGACGAACGTGGTCGAGAGGAACGATGTGTTCGTCTGGGTGATTTGTCTCGACGTGGACTTCGTGGAACCGAGATTGGACGTTTGTCCGGTGCCCCACGGTGCCGGTGGGAGCGAGAGCGAGAGCGACGATGCGTATGTTGTGGTGGTGGTGGAACTTCATCTGGTGGAGGAGGATGACTTGGAATAGGTGGAGAGACTTGAACTGGTGGTTGGGCCGGAGCAGGAGGTTGGCTCATATTACGCTCTTGGTTCTTGTCCACAAACGCTTGCATGCTGGATTCAACCGTGTTCTTCATCTGTTGAATCATCTCTTCTGCATTGAAGGATGCACTGGGTCCCAGTGGTGTGGATTGAGGTGCCACCGGTGTTGGTGGTTCAGGCACTGACGTTGTGGACTGAGCTGGATGTGGATTGAACGTGGATTGGTGGAATGGAAGAAGTTGTTGGAGGTGCTGGATATGAGATTGAGCCTGTGACGCAAGTTGTTGATTCAGGATGGTATTTTGCTCTCTGAGAGCCGCCAGTTGTGCCTGAGTCTGAGCTTGAGACTGAGCCTGTGACTGTTGGTTCATAAGATCACCTCCACAAAATTGACTTTGAAGTCCCATCGCTTGTGGATTCCATCCAAAGTTCCACATCGCATCAGGGACGTTGGGAAAACGTCCAGGGAACATGGCCGCACTGTCAGGTGGTTTTTTCTAAAAACTAGTACAACATAGATGCATCCACAACGCATGCAAAATTCGTGATAAGGCTCAAAGGCCCTCGGCTTTCATTTCAACCCCATCGACGGCTGTCAGTAGTCAAATGAATTACATGCACAATTCAACCTCACCAAACAACCAAAAAAGGAAGTGACCACACCTGTAAAGCATGTCCTCTTGCCTGAAGTTCCATGTCAAAATGGCTGCGGGCAGTCTCTTGAAGCAACAGGAAGGTTGTTGACGTGGCTTCAGGCTATGAAGTGAGAGATCCACTGAAAGAATTGAAGCCACACGACGGCCAGTTGTTCAACCAAACGACTTCGACAGGGTGAGAATCGAAAAAAGGCCAGCAGTTCACTCTACTTAGACGAATTACTAATTAAAAAGTGTAAATTCAGACATCGTTTTACCGTCAATTTTTAGCCTAGAAAGGCTTTCCCCGAAGGGCTCATACCACCTTGTCGGACAACGGTATGAGTGACACACTTGCTCAGAAACATCTTATCGAATTACTGATGTGGAATGCATCGCACGTGCAAAAACACTTCAGTTAAACCTGACAGGAGATAGTGGATGACTAGGCGTGAGAAACAGTAAAGAAGGATTCTTTCTACGTCCTTGCTAGAAGCAACTGTTCCATCTGACGAAGTCAGCAGTAAATCAGATTGCGAAAACCGTACAGTGGTTTGAAAAAAGTTGGAAACAACGACATGCCGGTACTTGGCTTAGCCGGTTGCCATTCAGAGAAATGAAAATTGATGCAGGTACGCAGAGCTGATCAGGCTCTGTATCACCACGAACTGACAGTGTCTTCGTTGGGCAGTGTCTGTCAGTCGTGCACTGCCCCCCCGCATGAAAATTGAAAGAGTAAATTCATGAATAGTCAAAACAAAAAATTGGTGCAGCAATCAACGGATAGAAGTTTTACATCTATTCAGATGGTCCACACACACACGCTTTTCTTGTACACACACAGAGGCTTTTACACACAGACGCTTACACAGAGACTTTTACACACAGACGCTTTTACACACAAACGCTTTTACACAAAGACACTTTTACACACAGAAGCTTTTACACACAGACTCCTTTACACACAGACACTTTTACACACAGACACTTTTACACACAGACTCCTTTACACACAGAGGCTTTTACACACGGAAACTTTTACACACAGACACTTTTACACACAGACACTTTTACACAAAGAGGCTTTTACACACAGACACTTTGAAACACAGACGCTTTTACACACAGACGCTTTTACACACAGAGGCTTTTACACACAGACGCTTTTATACACAGACACTTTGACACACAGACGCTTTTACACACAGATGCTTTTACACACAGACACTTTTACACACAGAGGCTTTTACACACAGAGGCTTTTACACACAGACACTTTTACACAGACGAAAGCGTTGCGATTGACACTTCAAAGTCGCAATTTTCTTCAGTTTTTGACGTCCAACGTCCATTTCGTGCGAAAGGGTTGCGATTGACACTTTAAAATTGCAATTTTTTCTCAGTTTTTGACGTCCAACGTCCATTTCGTGCGAAAGGGTTGCGATGGACACCTCAAAGTCGCAATTTTTCCACAGTTTTTGACGTCCAACGTCCATTTCATGCGAAACGGTTGCCGGGGACGCTTCAAAGTCGCAATTTTACCTCGGTTTTTGACGTCCAACGTCCATTTCGTGCGAAAGGGTTGCGATGGACACCTCAAAGTCGCAATTTTTCCTTAGTTTTTGACGTCCAACGTCCATTTCGTGCGAAAGGGTTGCCAGGGACGCTTCAAAGTCGCAATTTTACCTAGGTTTTTGACGTCCAACGTCCATTTCGTGCGAAAGGGTTGCGATGGACACCTCAAAGTCGCAATTTTACCTAGGTTTTGGACGTCCAACGTCCATTTCGTGCGAAAGGGTTGCGTTTCGTGGCGCTCCGGCGGCACCGCCCCCGCCTTAAGAGAGAATAGAAGAAGAGAGAGAGGAGATCTGCAGATGTGAAGGTGTGAAGATGTAGATCTGCAGATGTGAGGGTGTGAAGATGTGGATCTGCAGGTGTGAAGGTGTGAAGATGTAGATCTGCAGATGTGAGGGTGTGAAGATGTAGATCCGCAGGTGTGAGGGTGTGAAGATGTAGATCTGCAGGTGTGAGGGTGTGAAGATGTAGATCTGCAGGTGTGAGGGTGTGAAGATGTAGATCAGCAGATGTGAGGGTGTGAAGATGTAGATCTGCAGATGTGAGGGTGTGAAGATGTGGATCTGCAGGTGTGAAGGTGTGAAGATGTAGATCTGCAGATGTGAGGGTGTGAAGATGTAGATCTGCAGGTGTGAGGGTGTGAAGATCTAGATCTGCAGGTGTGAAGATGTAGATCAGCAGGTGTGAGGGTGTGAAGATGTAGATCAGCAGATGTGAGGGTGTGAAGATGTAGATCCGCAGGTGTGAGGGTGTGAAGATGTAGATCTGCAGGTGTGAGGGTGTGAAGATGTAGATCAGCAGATGTGAGGGTGTGAAGATGTAGATCAGCAGATGTGAGGGTGTGAAGATGTAGATCAGCAGATGTGAAGGTGTGAAGATGTAGATCTGCAGGTGTGAGGGTGCGAAGATGGAGATCAGCAGATGTGAGGGTGTGAATATGTAGATCTGCAGATGTGAGGGTGTGAAGATGTAGATCAGCAGATGTGAGGGTTTGAAGATCTAGATCTGCAGGTGTGAAGGTGTGAAGATGTAGATCTGCAGGTGTGAAGGTGTGAAGATGTAGATCAGCAGATGTAAAGGTGTGAAGATGTAGATCAGCAGATGTGAAGGTGTGAAGATGTAGTATAACGGCTGCTTTTTTACGAAGAACCCTTCGCAGGCGCTCTCGGGAAAAAGAGAAGATCACACAAGACCGGCTCGACTCCATGCCTCGCACGGTGCTGCCTTCTTGCATTTCGCACGCGAATCGATGAGCCACACATCCGTTTCCGTCTTCACAGACGAAATGCCCAAAACTTGCAAACGGACAACCTCAAAGACCGTCTCCAACTTTCGCAATTGTCCAGGCACGATCGCTCCCACGAGAGCGCTCAAGGATGAGACGGTGGCAGAGCAGCCAATCCAATCCTTCACAGGAATTTCCGTCAACATTCGGCAATTGTCTTGGTGGGCTAGCTCTGCCTGCCTGCAGCAAGGTTTGTTGAGCAAAAGTTAAAAGAAAGGCAACAGCCAAAGTGTGTGAAGCATCATACAGCCAAGAGACATCGCCGTCGCCATCTCTGCACTGCATGGCACAAGAGAAGTGCCTCGCCAGCTGCCGATCTCCCACGATCTTTCATCCTTGCGCTTGGTGACCAAAACCTGGTAGAGCATCAGGCTCGTTCCAGCTGGCTGCGCTGCCAATTCTTCGGCTTGCTCATGCCAAAAAGAACATCTCACTCGCGTTGCTCCTTGCTGCACAATAGCATTGCACACCAATGCAGCACCTTCTTTCGTCTGATGTTCCACCGACCCTGGATTCTCCACAATTGTCACCGAAACACAAAACTGCTGCCGATCTCTGACCCGATCCAACGCAGAGAGCGGCACTAGCGGATGCACGGCTGGAATTCCCTGCCACGGATCTTCATCAAGCTTCTGCACAATGACCTGTAGTCCCAAAGGTCCTTTCAGATTCAAATGGTAATGCAACCGTGAGGTAGGGTATTGGGCCGGCGCAGCTACCACAGCAGCTCCTTGGATAGAGACCAGATCACCGACCTGGCACTTTTTGTGCTAACTTGTCTCCGTTTTCGCCCCAAGCTTCAACGTATAGAGCACTTCACTCAAGCTCTGCGTAGCAGCGAGATGGGCTTCCAACTTCCGAAGCGTGCGGGTCTCCGGCAAACCTTTGGCAGCTTTGCTGCCCTTGCCTTTTCTGCCACCAGTCGGCGCTGCCGCCGCTTGTGTTCCTTTTCTCGACTGGATCTCCTGGTGCTTGAGGATCACAATGCGACCGGCCACGGCAGTGTTCTGGTCGCCGCGGTACTCGGACGGCTTCAAGCACGTCACTGCCATGTTCGTGCTTCTGGCTGTGCCCATGCGGTCCCAACGTGCTATGCAGCTTGCTTTGATTTACAACTGTGAACCAATAAATGCGTTATTATTGAAAACCTTTGGTGGCTTTCTGCTCTGGTGGCTTCTTTCCACGTTGGGCCAAAGCCACCAGAACAGCAATCGATGATTAGATATTGATCTAGAACGCTGTTTGTACAGTGATGTTTGAGCTAACAAGTGATAACCACAAGTGTTGAGCCGCTGGTACCGAGCCAAAAGCAGCTTCGAAAGGAGCATCTCTGTACACAAAGATGTCATATGTTGCGTTGCAACGAAATCTTCCAAGCAATCTGATGACAGCCGTGCCTCTCCCACAGCCACTCATCGGAATGTGATATATAACATTGCGAGAAAGTATCTGGTTGTCAATGCACCTCATACACACGCATATGACAAGACACGCAGATCATAACAAGCATAGCAATTATACCATACACACGGCATGGCATTTCTTACCCACAGCATGAACGCAGTAACAAGCACCCATCTTCTTTTTACACATATTTCACGCACGGACATGCGGTATCACTGGGGACTTCCTTTTTGTTCAATCTGCGCTCCAACGTCAATTGTTTCATGCGAATTCTTCCCATAGTGGGTCAAATTCGAAGCTCATGGCGAGACAATAGGCAAGCATTGGTTCTTTGCACGTTGCGCTAAACCACTCGACTCCTGCGTACCAGGAAGCGACCCGCAACGTTTCTTTGCACATTGCGCCAAAACTTGTTTCCGGATCACTGCAGAGACTGCTGGAAAGCGGGCATCCACCTTGGTCACATGGACACTGAACACTTCGATCTCTTCGACGTTGGCGTCATTTCTGAGAGCGCTCGCTCGACAATATCACACACAGACAACCGCCTCTTCTCCCAAGTTTTGAGCGCCCACAAAATGTGTGGCCTTTTCACCCAAGGATTGAGAGTAGGACGTGCCTTCAAGAGCACATCAATGGCATCGTCTGCGTTCATTGCGTGCTTGAAAATCAGCCACGCAGCCAAAGCAGCGCTGCTCCGATTGATGCCACCAAAACAATGAAACAGCAAGCCAGTCGAGAGATTGTCTCCTCGCCCCAAAAGAGAACGACTGATTTTTATACACATATTTTGCCATGCGGCGAAATAGCAGTCGCCCATCTCTTCGCAAAAATAATCTTCTCCGGGCCACTTTGTTCTGGGATCGTCCACGTCGATCGTGACGTGTTCCACAGACATTCCAATCAAGAATGCAGCCCGGCCTTCTTCAGGTTGTCCACGAATTCTTTGCATCTCAGATGTGCACAAACTGATGACAACATGCACTTCTTTCGTGTCCCTCAGACATCGCCGAGCTGCCAGGCTGCCCAGAAAATAGATTACAGTCTCCGTGCGGTCGACAGGGTGCACACGAACCATGTCGTTGGGCCACTCCGACATGCCACCAAAATGATACTCGAAACCATTCACCAGTCGATATTCTGGCCAGTCACTTTCCGGCATTGCGGCGCTGCGAAGAAGGCGCCACGCCTGCCACGGAAAACGAAGGTGGATGTGAGGTTGCGCCACGCCTGCCACGCAAAACGAAGGTGGATGTGAGGTTGTGCCACGCCTGCCACGCAAAACGAAGGTGGATGTGAGGGCGCGCCACCCAGTGCCATGAGTGCCACGCCTGCCACGCGGAACGATGGTGGATCTGAGATTGTGCCACGCCTGCCACGCAAAACGAAGGTGGATGTGAGGTTGTGCCACGCCTGCCACGCAAAGTGCCGCAGCGTCACGGGCGTCACGGGCGACCAAGCCAGTCCAAGCGCGCCACCCAGTGCCATGAGTGCCACGCCTGCCACGCGGAACGATGGTGGATCTGAGATTGTGCCACGCCTGCCACGCAAAGTGCCGCGGCGTCACGGGCTTCACAGACAACCAAACACATTCCAAGCGCGCCACCCAGTGCCATGAGTGCCACGCCTGCCACGCGAAACGATGGTGGATGTGAGATTGTGCCACGCCCGCCACGCGAAATGAAGGTGGATGTGAGATTGTATGTGAAAGATGGTGTGTGACAAAGTTGTGTGGGAAAGATGGTGGTTGACAAAGTTGTATGTGAAAGATGGTGTGTGACAAAGTTGTGTGTGAAAGCTAAAGTTGTGTGTGAAAGATGGTGTGTGACAAAGTTGTGTGGGAAAGATGGTGGTTGACAAAGTTGTATGGGAAAGATGGTGGTTGACAAAGTTGTATGTGAAAGAAGGTGTGTGACAAAGTTGTATGTGAAAGATGGTGGTTGACAAAGTTGTGTGTGAAAGATGGTGTGTGTGACAAAGTTGTATGTGAAAGATGGTGTGGGTGACAAAGTTGTATGTGAAAGATGGTGTGTGACAGAGTTGTATGGGAAAGATGGTGGTTGACAAAGTTGTGTGTGAAAGATTGTGTGTGACAAAGTTGTGTGCGAAAGATGGTGTGTGACAAAGTTGTATGTGAAAGATGGTGTGTGACAAAGTTGTATGTGAAAGATAGTGTGTGACAATGTTGTGTGTGAAAGCTAAAGTTGTGTGTGAAAGATGGTGTGTGACAAAGTTGTATGTGAAAGATGGTGGTTGACAAAGTTGTATGTGAAAGATGGTGTGTGACAAAGTTGTGTGGGAAAGATGGTGGTTGACAAAGTTGTATGTGAAAGATGGTGTGTGACAAAGTTGTGTGTGAAAGCTAAAGTTGTGTGGGAAAGATGGTGGTTGACAAAGTTGTATGTGAAAGATGGTGTGTGACAAAGTTGTGTGTGAAAGCTAAAGTTGTGTGTGAAAGATGGTGTGTGACAAAGTTGTATGTGAAAGATGGTGTGTGACAAAGTTGTATGTGAAAGATGGTGGGTGACAAAGTTGTATGGGAAAGATGGTGGTTGACAAAGTTGTGTGTGAAAGATAGTGTGTGACAAAGTTGTGTGGGAAAGATGGTGTGTGACAAAGTTGTATGTGAAAGATAGTGTGTGACAAAGTTGTGTGTGAAAGATGGTGTGTGACAAAGTTGTGTGTAAAGATGGTGGTTGACAAAGTTGTATGTGAAAGATAGTGTGTGACAAAGTTGTGTGTGAAAGATGGTGTGTGACAAAGTTGTGTGTAAAGATGGTGGTTGACAAAGTTGTATGTGAAATATGGTGTGTGACAGGAGGCGGGAGGAGGAGGCGGGAGGCACCCGCGGGAGGCACCCGGGATACAGAATCAAAAACAAGAACCCCACACAAAGATGTGGGGAATAAACCATTTTTTCTCTTGTCAGACAGATAGCTGCTGGAATTGAGTGGAATTGATTCGCTGCGGCTCAAAAATTTGCCCGTCGCAGCCTGTGGCTGAGGACCTAGCACCAAGCCCCACGATAAACACACCCAGTTCTCGCAAAACGAGGCCGGACAGCGAGAACTGGGTGCCACCTGAGATGCGTGAGCATGGCAGTGGGTTGTCCGCATGTTTGCTATGTTGCTATGCATTTACAATGTGCTTATAGTGTATTAATATCAACATGTTCGCTTCGAAACAGCAGTTACTGCAATGACCTTGCTGTTGGATTTTCTGTGATTGACTGGATTTCTCGCAGCACCAGAATTGGAATAGATAGAGAGACAACTGTTACAGCTTAGCTGGTCTTGTCCCAATCATGGCCAAGGCATGCTACACTCCACACTCTGCCTGCTCTACGCGCTCTACACACTACACCATCTGCACACTCCACATTCTACAAGCCATTGCACTCCACACTCCAGACCCGACACATTCCACACTTTCACTATTCACTTCAGACTGCAACTTCTACACACACTCCGCACTCCACACGCCACCCTTCACATTCTAAACTCTACATATCACATTTCCACAGCATGATACGTTTTGTAGTTCTCCTCAGGTAGTACACTTCTCCGCAACCCCAGAGAATCTGCATGCCAGACTGCTGCGCAGCTGTGCCACTGCGAATAGGGAAACAAGGCCTGAAGTGTCCTAAGCATTGCTGCCACACAAGAACAGCTCCAACATCTCCAATGCAATCTCCAAAGAGCAGTAATGCATAATGCCTGCCACGAGGGTCTCCAAAGACGATACAAAAGCAGTACACCTGGGTGATCCACGAGAACTCACGACCTCCAAAGCTGAGCTCACGGAATGTGACAGGTGTTGCTTCTCCGGCAACAAGCCGTGATGACAGGCGACGCAAACACCGCTCAACCCCCAGAACCCACACACCAAGAAAACAGGAACCTTTTGCTATGCAATTGACACAGGAAGGAAAAGGGGAAAGCCCAAAGAGAATGAAAAGAAAAAGGACTAAAAGAAGAGAAACGGACACAAATCTGAAAGCAAAGACAAGCAAAAAAAAAAAGAAACATGAAAAGACGACACAAATCAGAAAGAAATGCCAAGAACGTCTTGACATGAACGTGACTACCCGACCCGTCGCAAATGTGTTTTACTTGCCTATTCAAATGTTCAAGATATCCTGAGATATCCTGAGAATTTCAGGAGCTCAGTGCAAATCCATTCTTCTCAAACTGGCACGGGTTCTATGTTTTTGCGTCCCAACATTCCGAAATATGTCCATATTTTTGACAGTTTCCCACCGGAATGAGTGTTCAAGTACCGTGCGCGGGTTTTCACGAGGATGGTCCGTCCCAAAACAGATGTCAAATCATTTTTGCCCTTGATAGCTGCAAGTTTGATTTTTTTTCCTTGCCACAATTCTTGCGCTCAACCAGGTTTATTTTTGGCAAGGGAGCCGGAAATATCAGCACCAATGACGGAGAAAGCGAAGAAGCAAAGGGACATGGATGTGCCAGGCTGCTATCAAATCCGAAGTTTGAGGCTGGCCAACCTGTACAGTATGCCTTGACTATGTGCGAACTAGGAACGGCAAGAAGGTGCCTAAACATATCTCAACATCATTTCAACTTTGATTTTTGGGGCTCAGTTTTTGCCATATCTCATCCTAGTCGAATGGATGTGACGACGCGGTTGTAGAACTGCCACACCATCAATTTTTCTCCAGGCGGCAATTTGCATGATGATTTTTGCCAATGCGGTTGTGAAGCTTGGCAGATTGTGCATTCGGATATATTTGGATGATATGCAGATGATCAAGGTGAATGGATAGTTTTGCGGTTACAGGTTGGTTGTGATGGATTGATTGATTGATTTGATTTGATGTTATTTGATTGATTGATTGATTGATTGAATGATTTTGGCTGACTGTACCAGGATTCAGGCAGTGATACGGTGATTTTGAGATCTCTTTGGAAAAGTCACAAAGTTAGAACATATGCATTTTTGCAAACAGGGACATGGTTCTTCAATGCAGAGAAAAGGGCCAAATCATTTCCCCTACCGCACATTTTGCTACAGAGTGAGTTCATCCCTATCGACGCGTGCAATTTTTTCCCAAATGCGTAGCAAGGGTTCCCATTTCACTCTGGGGGTCTGGGGGTCTGGGGGTTGAGGGTGTGTTCGCTCGACGTTGCGTTTATGTTCGCAACCGTTCGCAACCGTCCGCGTGAGGGCCGCATGGCCGTGCCTATGGCAAGTTCTGCAAAAGGGGTCACTTTTGGAGGTTGCACATGTCGCATTGCTTCGTTTCGCGTGGCAGGCGTGGCACTTCGTGACATTCAGACGTGTTTTGTAACATGCCGAAAATCGTTTTGTGTGGCAGGCGCAATGCTTTTGAGACGTTTTCAGAAGATGCGTTGCAGTTTTCGTGGCGGGCGCAGCACTTTGGATGTGTCCATCGTCATTTTGCGTGGCAGGGGCAGCACTTTAGACGTGTCGTGTTGCGTGTTTTTGCGAATGGCATTGTCAGGGCTGCGTCAAGTGGCAACAAGGTGCAAATTCCGTGGCAGGTGTGGCATTTTACGAGATGTGATGAAAATTGGCGGAAGCCTTGCACGAAACATCGATTTTGAGGTAGCAAATATTGATGTTCATAAGAAACCTCGTAGGAAAACATCGATTTTGAAGCTACAAAGTGTAAAAATTGGAGGAAGTCTGGCGCGAAATGCTCATTTTGATGTTCCCACATGTCTCGTCTCGAGTCTCTGCTTTTAATGTGGCCTCCCCGTGTCTATGGGGGAAGCTGCAAAACCTCTCCTTCTCGAAGGTTTCCAAGCAGGTTGTCATGTCGTTTTGCGTGGCAGGCGCAATACTTTTGCGATCTTTTGCGTTGTTTTCGCAAGATGAGTTGCATTTTTCGAGGCAGGCGCAGACTTTGGAGACATCATCCATTGTCATGTTGCGGCGGCACTTCAGACGTGTCGCATTGCGTGCTCTACACTCCACACTCTACACTCCACACTCCACCCTTTACACTTCACACTCCACACTTTACATTCCACCCTTTACACTCTACACTCCACACTCTACACTTTACACTCCACACTTTACTCTTTACACTCCACACTGTGCACTCCACACTTTACACTCAACACTTTGCACTCTGCACTCCACACTCTACACTCCACACTCCACACTTTACAC